CCCCCTCCCCGGCTCCGGGCTCCCCTGAGCCGGAGGGGCGGAGGACCGGGCTCCTAGTGGCGCGTTCCAGCCCGGGCTTCGGGCCTCAGCCGGGCGAGTTCTACCCACCGCTGCTCCCGTCGGGCCCCGGAGGACCGCAGCTGACCCCGGGGTCGGGGACGCGGAGGACGGTCGGATCCGCACGCGCCGCCACGGGGATGTCCAGGGCACCGACTCGGAGACCCCGAGCTCAGAGCCCGGCCCCGGCCGCCCCGGGGCCTGCGCGGTAGCGTGTGTTGATGTACACTTTGTCCCGGTCTGCGGACCTCTGGGATTGCAGGAGTGTGCAGCGCTGCTCACACGCGCGCGCACACCCACTCACCGTCCTCCTGTTCCCCCCCTTTTTCTCATGGATGGTTCCACAGCAGTGTTCCTTCCTCGCGCCCCGGGGCCGCGCGTGGCGGGGGAGACCGCACGCGCTCCGGTGGCCCTCCGCTCTGCCTCGGTGCGGCGCTCACCCTGCCCACGTGGCCGGCCTGGGGGTGGCAGGCGGCACTTAGGACATCGCAGCCCCCCGAGAGCCCTTTCTTGAGATAACCTGCGCAGTGCCTTTCCCATGGTGCGGTTCCTGGTCTGCTCGGGAACGGTTCTACTAGTTTACTAGTTCCGAGCGCAAGAACGTGTTTTCCCGGAGACGAGCTGCCGTTGTAACCAGCAGGTGGAGGGACTTGGTTTCAGAACTTTGTGCGACGGTGGGTGAAGGTTGAAGTAGGCGTGGAGGATGCTTTGAGCTTTGCTGTCTTTGCCCCTCGTTTTGTAGCCCTCGTCTCTTTTGTTGGGAAGAGGGTGCCCATCCATGCACTTTATAACGTGACATTGAAAGGCTGCAGGCGTGGTTCAAGTGGTAGAGCATCTGCCTTGCACACCGGAGGCTCTGAATTCAATTAGTACGTGTATGTGTGTTAATTTTTGTTCCTTTGTGTACTTGGAGAAATGGCGGCAGTATTAGCCTTTCAAACAATGTCAGTTATTTTATCTTTAAAACCTAATGCATAAGTGTCAAATCTGTCCTCTTTCTGTTTCTAATCCTCAAGAGACATTGGTTTAATTTGATCCTTTAGAACTGTTCTGTATTTTTTCCAATCCTAGCACTGCATTTCGTAAGTTGACTTGCAGATGCTGTGTTTGCAGTGTTGAGAATTTGTTTCAAACACTGTTTTAGGTAGAATAGCTAAATTCCTTTCTGCTCTCAAGAAAAGTGACCACAGGTAATGGTGAGGAACTGCTGAGGATGTTTGCAAACTTTTTGGTGTTTGTATATTGACAGCTTTAAAGAAGGAAAATATGGCTGCATCATAAAAGTTAATAAAATACAGTGTGGTGAAAAAATGGACAAAACATTGTTGACTTTGGAAGTTGTTGCTACCTTGTGGGAGGTCTTTGGCTACAACATCAAAAACACTGGTAGATAAGGAAGTGGTTCAAACAGTTTCCGTTGACAAGCCTATGTAGTAATGTTTAATGAGTTACGTCTTGAAGACTTTTCTGTGGACCTTGCTATTTCTTTTAAAGTATTTGCTTTTTCTTTTCTAGGCAGCTACTTTTGCTATGATATTCCTGCTGCCCTTCAGACTCAGGTTAAGCGGGTGAGTTGATTTCACACTGTGATTTCTTCCCTTTGGACCCTGGTAGCTGCAGAGGTAAGCAGGAACATCGAGCCTGGCTCTCAGGTTGTCTCTGAAAAATTGAACACCTCTCTTACCAGAGGCCCAAACCACAGATACTGCTCTTAAGTTGAAATGAGTTGTCACAAAGAATTCATTCATAGCACATGTGTGACTTGAAATTGTTGCGTATTTTAGATAAATAATTAAGTGCTATTTTCAGTGTGTGTGTGTGTATGTGTGCACAGGTGTGTGCATGGCAGTTTTGGAACTTGATTTCAGGGCCTGAACACTGTCCCTGAGCTTTTTTACTCAAGGCTAGTTAACACTCTACTTACTACTTGAGTCATTGCTCTACTTCTAGTGTTGTGTTGGTTAATTGGAGATAAGAGTCTCGTGGCTTTTTGCCTAGGCTGGCTTCAGAGCTCACCCCTCAGATCTCCGCCTCGCAAGTAGTTAGATGATGCATGTGAGCCACTGGCTTGTTCTTTTTTTTTCTTAGAGCGTGGATACTAGCTTCTGAGTATTGTTCATGTCAGTAATCTTAATCTGGTTTTTAATCATAGAAATGTATTTGACATTTACCACATCTGGAGTATTTTCTGTAGTCCGTATAGTCTTTTTCTTTGTAACTGGGAAAAAAAAACTGGACAGATTGTCCCTTTGTTTGCACTCTGGGGTGATGCAGAAGCAGGTGGGGTTGGCCGTAAGGGGCCTGGCGTCCGTTAGCATTCTTTTCCATAGGGCCGTTACCCCTGTGCAGGCAGTAACAAGAGAGTAGGGACACAGAAGACAGAGGCTAGTGGTCCCCAAGCATCCTAGAGTCCACGAAGCCCCCGAAGTGACATGTGGACTCAGGAGCCCCAGTGTTGCCATTTACTGGAGCAGAGATGGTCACTCTCAAGAGATTTCAGGGACCGGAAAGACCTACAAACAGATGGTTATGAAATGTAAGACTTACAGATAGATGGTTAAGAAACTTAAGAAGTGGAAGTGTACCTGCTTTCTAATAGTTTGTCAGTTGCTAGCCTTAACTGTGTGGAAAGTAGTTTTGTTTTCCTCCCATACAGGACATGCAAGTGAACACCACCAAGTTCATGCTGCTCTACGCCTGGTATTCCTGGCCCAATGTGGTTTTGTGTTTCTTGGGTGGCTTTTTGATAGATCGAGTATTTGGAATACGGTAAGCTTGGACAAAATCTCACCTCTTGCTATACTCACCTAGTGATTGGGAAACTATTTGTAGAGAGATCCTGCGTAGGCCTATGTATTTACTGTGAACATTGATAGGATTGTTTCTTGATGGTTTTTCTACCTTTGGGTTGGGTTTGGAACCCTGGTTGGTAAGTGTCATTAAGGTCAGGGTTAATGAGAGCTGGGGGGGAATCTCCAGAGATGATTTGTGTGCAATTTCCCCCCTCCCCAAGCATGAGACAGGGTCTAGGTCTCCTTAGTGCCACATGGTACCTTTGCTGCTGCTCTGAGCTGGTTGTAACTTCCTGATCTTGGGTTTCCTCTTTGTGAACATGGTGAGGAGCCTGCAGCTCTGGCCCTCAGCCTCTGCCTGCCTCTGGCTATGGAACTTGTGTGAGCACTTGCCCTGCATGCTGAGGCTTTGGTGCTCTCTGTCCTGTGATGGGGTGTGTGGCTGCTGCAGACCTGAGTGCCCTGGGGATGTTTGCTGGAGGCCGAGGGGAACCAGGTGGTATAATCTTGGTCAGGACTGAGGCAAACTGTTTTGGGACTCAGGTGAATTTTCTGGTATCAGACAACATCAGTAGAACATGGTCCAGCAATGCCACAGGGCTGTGTTTACATAGACACAGTTTCCTGAGATGGCCTTGATTGTTTATTTTGTGATACTGAGCCCCTTGCTTGTTAGGCAGGTGCTCTACCATTTGAACCACTTCCAGTCCTTTTTTTTGCTTTACTTTTCAGGTAGGCTCTAACCTTTTTTTTGCCCAGGGTGGACCTCAGATCTGATCCTCCTAAAGAGTTTGATGACAGATGTGCACCACTATACCCAACCTGTTGATGGACAGGTGTCTCATGTGCCTGGCCTGGCTTCTTCCCTCAGTCCATCTAATGTCTGCCTCCTGAGCAACTAGGATTATAGGTGTCAGCTACCAACCTTATCTGACATTTTATTACTGTGAAGAAACATGAATCACTACTCAGATGTAAAATTTGGATTTGTAATTATATAGCATGGTTAATATTTATCTTTTCAAAAGTAGCTTTTAGTTATCAAGAGTTTTGGTCACTCAAGATTAGGATTCATTGGAATCAATTCTAAACTCAATAGAATTATCTGAAGAGCTGCCATTTTAAACAGGCTTGAAGATTATTTGATTACGTTTGAAGAGATGGTAACAGCTTAAAGGAACATTAGCCATTTCTGAAGCCTCTGGGACCCTGGGAGTCTAGATGTGTAACTGGCAGAGAGCTGGGAAAGTTGCTAACCTCAGAGCTGACCACCACTTCCTTTTTTCCTTGGAGGGGTTGCTGAGTGGGTAAAGAAAACGGAAATGAACTGATAGTAACGACTGTGTGACTACTAACAGTAATGTAGGAAGAATTGAAGACTTCTTTTCTCTCCTAAACAGATGGGGCACAATCATCTTCAGCTGCTTTGTTTGCGTTGGACAGGTACGAAAGGCAAAAGCATCTGGTAATCATTTGACAGTGACATTTGAATTCCTGTCTAATTAATTCAGATGGCAAAGATGTGTTCAGTGAATGTCTAGCTTAATCGTTAGTTAACAAGCGCCTACATGGTATGTTAGTAATAGTCTTAAAGTACACTAGCATTAGTATTTTTAACTTTGCAGATTTTTAAAAAGAAAATAGAGAAATTGTGATTTATTGTAAATCGCTGTTTCTCTTGAATACCTTTCTAAAAATTTTTTGCTGGTTCCAGAGCTTGAACTCAGGGTCTGCTCCATCCCTGAGCTTCTTTTGCTCTAGGCTTGAGCCATAGTGTCACTTCCAGTTTTTTCTGAGTATTTCATTGTAGATAAGAATCTCATAGACTTTTCTGCCGGATGGCTTTGAACTGTGGTCCTCAAATCTCAGTCTCCTGACTAGCTAGGATTACAGGTGTGAGCCACTAGTGCCCAGCTTCTCTTGAATACCGTGAATTTGTTCTCTCATTGATTCAGTGTTAAACTCTACATTACAGGTCATTTTTGCTCTGGGAGGAATATTTAATGCTTTTTGGCTGATGGAATTTGGGAGGTTTGTGTTTGGGTAAGTTATGTATAACTTCATATATTTTCATGTTTGTGAAGGGTGTTTGGGTCTTGGTGGTTTTTGGTTTTCTTTTTTCTTTTTTGTCGGTTGTGGGGCTTGAACTCTGTGGTTTTTGGTTTTCAATGTGGGGATTGAACCCAGAACCTCTCACTTGGACGGCCACTTGGACTGCCACTGGCTGAGATGGTGGCAGACACTTGTAGACCTGGAGGTGGTGAAGGTGCCCATGGGTCACAGAGTATGTGGGACGAACCTGAAGGAACAGAAAACCCAGAAGGTCAGACAGCCTATGTGTGAGCGGGGGACCACAGCTCTGTATATTGGCCTGAAAAGCGTGCAGTGTCTTGAGCAAGCGTGGACCAGCGTCCCCCTCCATGACCTTACCAAGCGTGGACCAGCGTCCCCCTCCGTGACCTTACCATACCAAGCGTGGACCAGCGTCCCCCTCTGTGACCTTACCGAGCGTGGACCAGCGTCCCCCTCCGTGACCTTACCATACCAAGCGTGGACCAGCGTCCCCCTCCGTGACCTTACTGAGTGTGGACCAGCGTTCCCCACCGGTGCTCTGCGGTGGGGTCGCTGAGGGTGGCATCACCCAGCCTCCTCACATCTGTCCTGGATTTTAAGGCAGCATAGAAGCGACTCCCGCACCTCAAGTGAAAGGCAGCTCTCATCTGGTTTGGGCCTTGCTCAGGCGTAGGCCTGTGGACAGCTTGTCTCCCTGAGCCTAGAGTCTCAGCTGCAAAGATTCGTAGAAGGCCGGGGTCTAGAATCATCTGGAAGCTCCCAACTCCTGAATTGGACAGCAGGGCTGGGCTGGCTGGAGGAGGACTGCTGCAGGGAGCACCTCACCCTTCCTGGGTGTGTATGCTTGCATGTGTGTGCACATGCACCATCTGTCACCACGGGGTATCAGCCTCCTGGCACACCGAGGAGTGAAAGACAGGGTGCTACCCGTGGTGTGGGTGTGCCAGGGGACCACACGTATTGGCTGAAGCACCCAGGACCCACCCGAGGTGGAGAAGGTGCAGACTCTGCCACGTGGGGGCTGGGGGTCTGAGCTGGCATGGAGTGTCTTGAAGAGTGGTGACATCTCTCTTTCCATCCTTAGGATTGGTGGCGAGTCCTTGGCGGTTGCCCAGAACACATATGCTGTGAGTTGGTTCAAAGGCAAAGAATTAAACCTGGTGTTTGGACTCCAGCTGAGCATGGCTAGAATTGTGAGTGTGACGACAGATGGGAAGCTAAAGAGGGAGGGGAGAGGTCTTGGGGTTTCTGAGGGAGGGGTGCAGGGGTATCTCAGGGTCACTGAAGGAGGGGTACTGGAGAGGTCTTGGGATTCCTGAGGGAGGGGTGCAGGGGTGTCTTGGGGTTCCTGAGGGAGGGGTCCAGGGGTGTCTCGGGGTTCCTGAGGAAGGGGTGCAGGGGTGTCTTGGGGTTCTTGAGGGAGGGGTGCAGGGGTGTCTCAGGGCTCCTGAGGGAGGTGCAGGGGTGTCTCGGGGTTCCTGAGGAAGGGGTGTCTCGGGGTTCCTGAGGGAGGAGTGCCAGGGGTATGTCGGAGTTCCTGAGGGAGGTGCAGGGCTGTTTTGGGGTCACTGAGGGAGGGGTGCAGGGGTGTCTCAGGGTTCCTGAGGGAGGGGTACAGGGATGTGTCGGGGTTCCTGAGGGAGATGCAGGGGTGTTTTGGGGCGATTGAGGGAGATGCAGGGGTGTTTTGGGGTGACTGAGGGAGGTGCAGGGGTGACTCGGGGTTCCTGAGGGAGGGGTGTCTCGGGGTTCTTGAGGGAGGGGTGCAGGGGTATCTTGGGGTCACTGAGGGAGGGATGCAGGGGTGTGTCGGGGTCGCTGAGGGAGGGCATTGACTTAGACACAGCCCCCTACAACCAGCAGGGCATTTGCGTGGTGGCGTCTCCTGGCCTCCTGTGGGCTAGCAGTCACGCCAGGTGTGCCCTGCCACGATGGTCACGTGTGTGGCTCTCCAGGCTCAGCTTGCACATGTCCGTCGGGACACTCGCTGTGGGCCGGGGCAGCCACCTGCCGCGGTTCCCATTGACTCCAGCCCCACACCCAGGTCCCTCCTCCCACGCCAGCAGCGTCAATTGGCTGCTGCCACTTTTGCCTTTTGTCATTTTGTTGTTTTTAAATCTTCTGTTTATTCTTTTGGTGCTGGTGCTAGGGCTTCAACTCTGGGTCTGAGCATTGTCTCTGACATTTTGAACCACAATTCCATTTCTGGCTTTTTGGTGGTTAATTGGAGGTTAGAGTCTCACAGACTTTTCCTGCCTGGCTGGCTTTGAACCTCAGATTGCAGTCTCCTGAGTAGCTTGGCTCACAGGCAGGAGCCACTGCCCAGCGTTAGCTTATTTGAGGATGGCTCCCTGGTTCTCAGTCAGGGTTGGTTGTGTTGTCCTGAGCTGCCCTGGCCACTCCCCACACCCTGCGTGTCTCTGTATTGCCTGCGTCTCTGCCATCCCAGGTCCTCTTTGAGCATGGAGCCTAGAGTGATCGTGGTGCGGAGGTTGTGTCTGGTGGAGACTACCTAGGAATAATGCTGCATTTACAGTAATGCACCCTGGGAGGCATTTTGGTAGTTGTAAGCTCTATGAATAATTTAAAAAAAAACAACCTTGCCCTTGAAAAAGTCACACTTTCACAGGCAAATAAATGGCATGAAAATGTAAAGAAAAAAGAAGCCATGTAAATGAACGTACTGAATGTCTTCACCCTTTGACTTGAGCCATACTTCCAGCACAGCTATTTGCTTATTACTTGGAGATAGATAATTTTGGATTTTTTCTGCCCAGACTGGCTTCAAATCACAGTTCTCTCATCTCAGCCTCCAGAGTAGCTAGGATTATAGACATGAGGCAGCAGTGCTTCTTTATTTTTTATTTTATTTTATTTTATTTTTTGTCGGTCGTGGGCCTTCAACTCTGGGCCTGGGTGCTGTCCCTCAGCAATTCAGCTCAAGGCAAGTACTCTTCCACATGAGCCACAGCACCACTTCCAGTTTTCTGGGGATTTATTGGAGATTAGAGTCTCACAGACTTTCCTGCCTGGGCTGGCTTTGAACTGTGATCCTCTGATCTCAGCTTCCTGAGTAGCTGGGATTACTGGCGTGAGCCACCAGTGCCCGGCTCAAGTGCCTTCATTTCTAAAGCATTTGTCATTGTGCACCATATTATGTATTTTTAAAAGTCTCATTAACATGTTGTTCTGTTGTGTTCTTTATTATATCCAGTACTGAAATAGTGCTATATAGTAGCACAGGCCTATAGTAGAAGCTCAGTAGTTACGAAATGAATGAATATGTCACCTGTCCCTTTTACTGTCTACTTAGATTTCGGAACGTTCAGGGAAGGAATTTTGTTTGTTGACTTTAGTTTTGAGAAGGGCTGCACTCTTTCTTTGGAGCTCTGGATTTTATAATATGTTCCATGTTTTCTTTGGCTGCTAGAAAATTGTGAATGTGCTGTGTTATTCTGGATGCTGGCGTTTCCCAATAAACTGCCATTTGTTTTGTGTAACTGACCTTTGGCTTTATCGTTTTTTTTCCTTTGCATTAAAATTTTTAAACCTTATCTTCCTGTTTTGTTTGGAACCCAATTAGACTTGATTCTCAAGGGTACCATGAGCTGTATTTGTTTCCTGCGAGGCCAACCTGTGGGCAGCTGGGCTTTCATGGTTTCTCTTTCTAGGGAAGCACAGTGAACATGAATCTCATGGGATGGCTGTATTCAAAGGTTGAGGCGTTGCTGGGGTCTGGCGGCCACACCACCCTTGGGGTGACACTGATGATCGGTGAGTGAACTCTGAGGGCCTCATCTTGTCCCCTCTGAGGTGCCCTAGGAGGTGAAGGTCCAGAGGGACCGAGGGAGCTGGTTAGAGCGCCCTGGGGCCTAAGATTATGGTTTTTCCCCCATTCCCAACCCCCAGTTCACTCATTCTTTTTCCTGACAAGAAATAGCTAGTCATTTCTACTTTTTTTTTTTGGTGCTGGTACTGGGCCTTCAATTATGGGCCTGTGCACTACTGTCCTTTAGTGTTTTGCTCAAGGCTGGTACTCTGTCCTTGGAACTTTGACTCCACTTACGGCTTTTTGGTAGCTAATTGGATATGAGTCTCATAGACTTTCCTGCCTGGGCTGGCTTTGAACCACAGTTCTCAGATCTCAACTTCCTGGGTGGTTAGGATGACAGACGTGAACCACCAGCTTTATTTCTGTTTTCTTGAACTAGAGGATTGGACATCCTCGGGTCTTTGCACGTTAGGTATTCCAAGAGTGGAAGTGAAAACACACACAGGAATGTGTTCACCTAAGGTATCAGAAGTCTGGCCTCCTTTGATCAGATCCAGCCTGTATTCTGGGACGCTTGGATTCTGTGGGAGTGCGATTGTGGGAAGCGGTTGGAACGCCTGGGTTGGGCGTCAGCCTGGGGTCTGTGTTGGCTCTCACTGTTCTGTTATTGTGGACAAGGATGTTGACTTTTGTCTCGGTCTTCTGCAACATGCAAGGTGTGGGTCCCTCTTGTCGCTCAGCTCTCCGGGGGGCTCCTGGCCCTGGGTCCTGTGTGCAGATCCTCAGAGTGCATCCGTCTGACAGCACTGCAGGGTGCACACGGCTCCCTGCAGGACCCACAGAGACCAGGGCATGCTGGGGGAAACTTCATGCTCAAGTTTTGCATAGCTTTGTTCCTTGTAATTGCTTGATATAAAAAGCTTGTTAAACAGGCAGGTGGGAAGGTATTCCTGACAGGATGTGCATCTGACGCCGCTGCTCTCAGCCTCCTCAGCTTCCGGGCCTCCCTCCCCATGCTCTCCAGCATTCTCCCTACCTGCGCCTCCTAGACAGCTGTGCAGGAGGCTGAGCTTAGAAGCCAACATGGGCCAGGAGTGTGTGAGACTGTTGCCTCCACTTAATCACCAAAAAACCAGAAGTGGAGCTGTGGTTCAAGGGAGATAGATCCCTACCTTTGAGGGAAAAGCTAAATGCCCAGATCCTGAGTTCCAGCCCCCAGTACCAGAAAAGAAATGAAAGCTGCTCTTATTTCACAAATGGTGCATTGGAGCTCAATAGGCTAAATTCAGCACAGGAGGGAGGGACAGCATAGACCCCTTCTTCCCAGAGTACCTGCCCTGTGCTATTCCCCTCCCCTCCCCCAGAGAACCTGCCCTGTGCTGTCCCCTTCCCCTCCCCCAAAGCACCTGCCCTGTGCTGTGCCCCTCCCCTCCCCCAGAGCACCTGCCCTTTGCTGTTCCCTGCCCCTCCCACCCTCCCTGAGCCCCTTGGTTTTCCTGCAGCCTGTGCCTGCTGTGTACTGCTCTTGTTAAAGTCTCCTTTTCCCCCTCAGGCTGTGTAACGTGTTTGCTGTCACTAATCTGTGCCGTGGCCCTTGCGTACCTGGATCACAGAGCAGAGAGAATCCTTCATAAAGAACAAGGAAAAACAGGCAGGTGTTGGTAGCAGGCGGGGACTTGGGGATACAGGCCTTGAAGCACCCTGAACCATGATCTGAGCTGTGGCCCTGGTGCCCTGCGGGGTGTCTGAGTAGCATGCACACTCTGTTTTCCATTTCCCTTGTCTCAAGTTTGGTCATGTTTGGCAGGGAGTAGGAAAGCAGACGCTTACTGTAGCTGCTGTGTTTTCTTAGATCTTTCTAGGTTAGCCTAGAGATGATGATTATGTCATTTCCTGGAAAAGTGTTAGAACTCAGTTACAGAGGTTCATCATGGGATTACAGGCGAGAATTCCTGTGATGTGTGAAACTTGCTCATGGTGATTGCTCTCTCCTCTCCAAGGTGAAGTTATTAAATTAAGTGATATCAAGGACTTCTCCTTACCCCTCTGGCTGATATTTATCATCTGTGTCTGCTACTATGTTGCTGTGTTTCCATTTATTGGACTTGGAAAGTGAGTATTTCTAACCTTCTACTTTTTTTTTTTTGACTGGGCTTGAACTTGGGGCCTTCACTTGCTTGACAGGTGCTTGAGCCCTGTTCTTTTTTTTTTTTTTTTTGGGTCCGGTCTGGGGTCTGAACTCTGGGCCTGGCGCTGTCCCTCAGCTCTTCAGCTCAAGGCTAGCGCTCTACCACTTGAGCCACAGTGCCACTTCGCTTTTTTCTTTTTGCTTCTGTGGTGCTGAGGAATCAAACCCAGGGCCTCAGGCATGCAAGGCAAGCGCTCTACCACTGAGCCACCTTCCCAGCCCTGAGCCCTGTTCTTTCAAATCTTTCTTGGCTAAATTTAATGAGCTCAATCGAAGAAATGTAGGATTTTGTTGTTGCTAATAGCTCATCTTGTTTTTCTGGCTGGTCAGAGTTTGTGTTTACATAGGAATTGTTTATTTCCTTGGATACATTGGGTTTCTAGGCTTAAGTTTAATATTTTTATTACTTTGGAATCATAAAATTAATACTTGATTTAGGGCTGGTGTTCTTTTGAAATTTCCTCTTCATTCCTTGAGTAGGAATTTTTCCTTTTTTAAAAAATAATAGAGACTGTATTAATGCAATGTGACTGGACACATTTCTTTGTAAGGTTATAATTCTACCAGACTTAAAGTCAGGGTTTAGGGCAAATTATTCTTGCTTTATTTTCTTCTCTCTCCTTGTTAATTGCTGGCTGCTTCAGTGGAGCAGTCAGTCAGTATCTTTGTAGGGATGTATTTTTGTATCTTTCTCACCTTTAAAGTGATGCTGCCATTTTCAGTAATAGGAGACCAGAGCTCTCTTGTTATATCTAGCAAAGACCTTGTGCATACTGCTCTTGAGGACAGGAGTGTATTTGGTTTTCTGAAGGCTGGTGTGCAAATTTAATGCGGGTCAGTGGAATATTCAGATAAATGCTGGAGCCGTGGAGAGAGTTGACAGTGGAATCAAATAGGGAGGAAGTAATAGGAAAGAAACGTTTGTTAAAATGGTATTTTTATTTCATTTTGTCTTGTTCTCTTTTTAATTGTAGAGTTTTCTTCACAGAGAAATTTGGATTTTCTTCCCAGGCAGCGAGTGCAGTTAACAGGTAATGTTTTCAATTCTGCCAGGGTCTGTTGCATACTGAGTGTGGATCTTAAAACCTAATGTTAGAAGAATAGAACGAATGTGGGCGATGCTGTCCCATTCAGTGTGAGACCAAAGCTGGGCTGAGTCTGAGCCCCTGAGGGGCCCCTCTGGACCAGTCAGGCTTCGCCTTGCCCAGCACTTAAGGGACTGATCATGTTCCATGCTGTCTCTGCAGCATTGTGTATGTCATCTCAGCTCCTCTGTCCCCGGTGTTTGGACTCCTGGTGGACAAGACTGGAAAGAACATCATCTGGGTCCTGTGTGCAGTGGCCGCCACGCTCCTGTCCCACATGATGCTGGCCTTCACCATGTGGAACCCTTGGATTGCCATGGTAACGTGGGCTGGCACCGGGTGGGTGGGTTGGGCCTCAGGCAGGACTGCTAGGCCTGGCTGCTGTGCCCTGACAGCTGGGGGCGGCACCGAGAACAGCCACTTGATTACAGTTTCTACAAAACAACTCATTTGCCGAGTATAGGTACAAATTATCTGGAAGGCTTACTTCCTTCAGCTTACTTAACATGCCAGTACCCTCTGTGCTGAAGTAGAATTTGAACTACAACAGTCTTACACAGTCAGAATGCTAGTTACTTCCATTTATTTTTCTGAGTTTTATTAAAAAGGCACTTTTATCAAAGGTGGCCCAATATGTGTGAGCCCAGCATGGGTTCTTGGTCTTCAGGTTACAAAAGGACGAGGTATTCATCAAGTTCCTGTGTGAGACAGAAATTTTCAAGACCACAGGCTGAAGTGCTGGCTTTAGTAGTAAAACTTGAATGTCTGTGAGAATCTCCACAGAAGTGCTCCTCTGGCCTGCAGCACGTGCTTTGCACAAGAATAGTTATGGAGTTGTTTTCTGTGTGTATCCTGTGGTTCTTGTGGCTCTCTCTCACACGAGCCAGATTGAGCTCCTTCTGCTTGGGCTGTATGTTAGGCAGCTCCAAGCCAGCCTCAGACCGATTTTGCCACCTCTTCTCTGGAGTAACTGTGATTACAGGCATGAACCACCATTCCTGAAGCTTCTCCAGTAACTTCTCCCCGCTGATAACTTCAGCAGTGCTATGCACAATGTCTTTACTTGCTGGCCTTGGGCATTGCTTTACTGTTTGCCAGCCTTGATAGGTGTAGCGGTACTGGGATTGAAGTTGTAACATTTTTTTTCTTCATTGAGAAAATGTCAGCACAGGGTGATGTCTAACAGTGAGAGGGGGGTAGGAGGAGGGTGGACTGTCTGGTGATGTGGCTTTGATTAATTTGTAATCCCTGCTAACTACTGGAGAATCAGCTTGCCCCAAGCATGGGCCTGGACTGCACCCTGGCCCCTAGCCAGTTGTGTGTGTATGCAAAACCGACCAAGACAGCACATGCCCCGTCACTACGGAATGCTCAGAGCCCAGGCTCTGTGTGTGTGGCCTGATGGGAATACCATGTGCTTGACTGTTCGTGTGTGAGCTGCTGGGACACCTGCGATCTGCCCCTTGGATGATGCGCGTGCCTCTCTGTCCCGCTGTCGCAGTGTCTCCTGGGTGTGTCATACTCCCTACTTGCCTGTGCCCTCTGGCCCATGGTGGCCTTCGTCGTTCCTGAGCACCAGCTGGGAACTGCGTACGGCTTGTGAGTATGCCTAGTAAGTTTCCCTGAGGGCTGAGCCTATCATGAGAATAGCCATTTGGAAAAGTCCACCCTCTGTTCAGGATGGTGCGGGCCAGCACAGGGCTTCTCAGGGGGAAGTGGAGCCCATCCCTGGCCCAGAAGGCAGCAGGCAGCCACGCCTGCGGTGTCCAGGACCCTGCCTGCCTGAGGGGAAGGTGCGGGGACCCACCCTAGGTAGGCACCGCTGTCGTACCTGTGAGCAGATGGTCTAGTGGCAAAAAGAATGAGAGGTGAAAGGCGCGCTGGCAATTGCGTGGCGTGGGGCTGGTGGGAGCTGGAAGAGGGGCCTGAGTGGGGCTGTGTCCATTCTTGCCGCAGCATGCAGTCCATCCAGAACCTCGGCCTGGCCGTCATCTCCATTGTTGCTGGCGTGATCCTCGATTCCCGGGGGTATTTGTTTTTAGAGGTGTTCTTCATCGCCTGTGTTTCTTGTAAGTATGCCTTGTGGCACCATAGCCTACTGTTACCACTTTTTTTGGTCACTCGTGGGGCCTGAACTCTGGGCCTGGGTGCTGTCTCTCAGCTCTTCAGCTCAAGGCGAGCGCTCTACCACTTGAGCCACAGCGCCACTTCACTGTTAGCACTTTTTACCATTAGTTTTTGTTGTTGTTTTGTCCCCCGCTTAGAAATCAGACCCCTGAGACACAAGGCGCAGATGTGCCTGCTCCTCAGCCTGTGTGCAGCTGTCAGCCAGAGACAGCTCTCTGCCCTGGGATTTCCAGGACGTTCTGTCTCCTGTAACACTGCTCTGACCCTGCCCTGACCACGATATCAATACCCCGGCACAGTGGAGTAGTGTGATGGAAGTGCATATGCACGTATGCGTGCTAGGAGTAAGATTATGATACAGATACTTCCTTCACAGTGGAGCATGTAACGTACAAGTGCTGGGTGTGAGGGCTCATGGTCTCTCCGACCGGCAGATGTCAATTGCTTCTGGGTTTGGTCTCTCAGTGTTTGCTTGCATTGGTTGTTGGCTAAAGCTAGGAAGCGGTTGGAAAGCTCTAACTAGAAATCAGCATTGCCTGCAGTCTTGGCTTACAGTCTCTTCTCCTGGACCACAGCACATGTCTTCCACACTTCAGTAACACGTTTCAGTGACACACAGCAATAGTTTGAACAGACTTTCATAGACTATACTTGAAGTGTGAGAATTGAAGTCTGCTTTATAAGCTGCTTCAGATTTATTTTGCTATCCTTACTGTAGAATTAAGCAAATCACAATTTATAATGCCTGGATTTTTTTTGTTAAAAGCATGACCTTTAAAGATTCCAAACAACGAACCACGCAGTGTCTTCTTTTGGTCCATTTCTGATGTATTCCAGGGAAACGTACATTCGGCACAAACTAGGTCCTGTGCCATTTAAATGTGTATTTATTTTTGCCATGTTAGTTTACAATAAATTAAATAGCATCACTTGGGAAGGGAAAAAGCCAAGCCTCAAGTTCTGAGCTCTCTCCTGGCTGTGGGATTGTGGGCAAGTGAGGACCATGGTTTAATTCTGATTAGTCCACTTGCTGAATGGCATGTAGTTTCTAGACTTGCAGACCTTCAAAGGCTTCTCCTGTTGGGAGTTCTGTAGCCTCACAAGTGAGAGAGGGGCTGCCAGGAGTTTGGAGGAAGTGCCAGGAAGGACTGGTAGGGGGTCAGGATGGCCTGGGGCATGTCACACCTCTCCTGGGGGTGTCAGTTCCAGTTCTGGGCTGAGTTGCAGCCATTTCCAAAAAGGAGAAAATTCTTCACGCCTTTCTAGTGATTTTGGAAAAACAAAATGTGAACAGTATTAATTTTTAAGTGCCGGTTAGTAAAGGCTTGGTTTTAGTTAGAGTTTACTTTGTAACTGAGAAGAAATACATATTTTTAAGGATCCTGTGTGTGTTTTTCTCCTAGTGTCCCTTTTATCTGTGGTCTTACTTTATCTGGTGAACCGTGCTCGAGGTAAGAAGCTGTGCTGTTCCCATTCAAGTTCCGGAGGATCCTCCGCATGGCTTCCCACCTCTCTTTCTGCAGGCCAGGGCTTTATTTAGCCCCTGCCATGGTGACTTTCTGTTCTAGTGATATAGCACATAACTGTAGTTGGGGCTTCACTTAATTAAAGGGATATTAGGCTTTTCCATCTTAGAGCCAGGTTTGTTTCAGTTTTGTAATACCTTGTTTTATTTAAAAAAATAAAGCCGTGTGTGTGTGTGTGTGTGTGTGTGTGTGTATTTGCAGTTCTTTATTTTTAACTTTTATAACTGCTTGTGTGTGTGTGTGTGTGTGTGTGTATTTGCAGTTCTTTATTAACTTTTATAACTGCTTGATCCTAAAGGTGTTACGTACTCAGCAGAATGTAATACACATGCTGTTTGAATAATTTTAGGTCATTTCCGTTAGCTTCTTTAATACTCACTGTTAATGGATACTTATTTACTTTATGGTATATCTTTAAAAAATTATCTTTAAATAGTTGTTCAAAGGAGTTTTAATTAAATGAATCAGTTTACAAACACAGTGCCTATTAGTGGGTATTAATACGTATAATATTCCAAATAAAGAGCTTGAAGCAGTAGTAATTCCAAACTTAAAATTAAAAAGCTAAAAGTAGGAATGATTAAGATTCTGTTTTCTCATCTTGCATAGGTTATCTGTATAAATGTTTGCATGGTTATATTATATTGTTTTTACATACAATACAGTGGAAAGACTGTTTATTTGTATTTTAGGTGGGAACTTAAATTATTCTGCTAGACAAAGGGAAGAAATGAAACTTTCTCATACCGAGTAAGTATTGAAAAGCTGCTTTTATTTTGAAGTCTTAAATGTTAACATTTTATTTCAAGTTGTTAGAAATAAGTTTTCTTTTTTTTTGTTTTTTTTTGGGGGTGCCAGTACTGGAGCTTGAGCTCAGGGCTTGGGCATTGTCCCTGAGAGATTTGCTTAAGCTTGGTGTGCTACCACTTAAACCATAGCTTCACTCTGGATAAGAGTCTTAAGGACTCTCCTGCCCAGATTGACTTTGAAACTTGATCCTCAGATCTCAGCCTCTTGAGTAGCTAGAATTACAGGCGTGAGCCACTGACACCCTGTAGAAATTTGTCTTTTTCTCTTGAGTCTCACAAGCCTCTGATTATGTCTGTAACTTAGTGGCAAAACGTTTGTTTCAGAAATTTCAAAAGGTGACTATGAGGACCAAACTGTTAAGAATAAAAAGCCCTGGGCTTGAGCTCTTCAGATGCACTGAGAGGTCTGTGGTAGGCAGACTGCCCCAAGTTCCTTTTCTGGACCTATTTTCCATTTTCTCAGATCATTTCCTTTTTTAAAAGTAGTGCTGGCCACTGTTCACCTTGTCCTGCCTTCGCCATGCTGTCCATCTTTTCTGGCTTATTTAGAGCACAGAAAAGGGTGGTGCATGAGGTTTAATTGCAGTGTAATGGGAACTTTGCCCTAGTGACCGTCCTGACGGAGCACAGCGGCTTGGCCTGCTCTACTTAGGGATGATCATGGCCTGGGCCTTACATAGCTGGACAGGAAAATCATAAACTCCATGTCTAACTAACAACTGGGCTAGAGATTGAGGCTTTTGAGTTCAAACATCTGTACTGCTCTCTTCCCTCAAAAAAATCAGTTTCCTGTTATTTCCAATACTTTCATAAATTGAATTTTTACTTAAAGATTCACTTTGGAGCTGGTCATCAGTGTCTCTGAGCTCTGAAGATTGTGGTTTGAAGGCAGCCCAGGAAGGAAAGTCTATGAGACTCTTGTCCCCAGTTAAAATAAATCACAGAAAAAAACTAGAAGTGGTACCTTAGCTCAAGTGGTAGACCGTGCTAGCCTTGAGCCAAAGGAGCTCAGGGATAGTGCCTGGGCCCAGAGTTTAAGCCTTAGGACCAGTAAAAAAAAAAAAATCATGTAAGTTTTATGACTTCTTTTTATTTGGTGCTGCTGGTCCTGGGGCTTGAACTCAGGGCCTGGGTACTGCCCTTGAGCAATTTTGCTCAAGGCTAGCACTCTACCACTTGATCTACAGCTCCACTTCTAACTTTTATGTGCTTAATTGGAGATCACTTTGAACTGCGATCTGCAGATCTCAGTCTCCTCAGTAGCTAGGACTAGCCATTCCGCATTCAGCTGAAATTTACTTGTCAAGTAGTAATCCTACTAGAAACACATCTTAAGAAAATGATTGGTAATGCTGTGAACCTAAAAACTCGTTATTATTTTAAAAAAATTGGAAAAGACATAAATACCTGAAAGTAGGAAAGTAGTTAAATATGATGCATTCACATAATAAGTTACCATGATTGTGTTGTAGAATTTTTAACGTCTAGATACTTAATACACTATGTTAAGATAAAAATGGTATTCCAGAAAAGCCTGCAGTGTATGCATGTCTTCTGCCCAGCTCCTTGTGGGCGATGCAGTACCGAGAGCCGACCCAGACAGCAGCAGCTCTGTGGAAAGGGAAGGCCCACGGGTCCGGAGATTCTCCCCCATCCCCACATTTTCCACGTTATACTGCTCTGTGTTACTCATACAATCAAGAAGGGTTGTAGAAATGTCCAGAAAAATGTATTATTGTAATTTCTGACACTGTCTTCTAGTGTTTGTAATCTGGGGTCTTCCTGTTTTCTCTCTCACTCCTCTGATGATTTGCTGCATTGTCTTGCAGATGAGGAGTTTCCAGGCCACGAGAAAGGGCTGCAGATACCTGTGACATGGAACCTCCAGAAATAATGTGTAGCTTTAAAGTTAGAGTTCAGCCCTTAGGAAAAGGAATGGGCTGGAAGGTAATATTTGTGTTTCAGGTGTGCCTCTGTCAGGGTGTGTTTGTGAAGGCTGCTGTAGCCTTTGTCTCTGGGCTACTAAGAATTCTGCTTTGGGTGGATCATCAGTGGACACTTGAGGAAATTAATGAACTTCACCATTACTGTCAATAATAGCAAACATGGGATCTTGTATTGACTTAATTTTCCTGTTCTCCTGGGGATATGGCTCTTGTCTTACAGCAGAAACAAAGCAAAACAACAGAAAACAAATTCTACAGACAAAATAACTCCAGACTTTATTGGTTGTGGAAGGGCTGTTTATACAGAATAAGTGATGGTATGGTAATGGTGTTTTCTTTGTCATAGAGAAAATGAGGGGCTGGAGGTATGAATTAGTGGTAGAGCTCCTGTCTAACAAGTGTGAGGCCCTGAGTTCAATCCCCAGTACTGTCAAAAAGAAAAACAAAAACCAGACTAAGCCAGGATCTGGTAATCCTAACTACTCAGGAAGCTGATATCTGAGGATCCTAGTTTGAAACCAGCTCAGGCAGGAAAGTCCATGAGACTCTTCTCCAATGAACTCCCAAAAAAGTTGGAAGTGGAGCTGTAGCTCAGTGGTAGAGTGCTAGCCTTGAACAAAAAAAGCCCAGGGACAATGCTCAGGCCCTAAGTTCAAGCCCCAGGACCAATACACAACAACAGCAAAATGCAACAGAAACGATGAGATGATGAGTGGTGGGAAGTTGCTTCCAGTGTACTAACAGTGCATCGGTGCCGGGGGCGAGGGGAGGGAGTGCTCTGCTCGGTCTCCTGTGATGAGGGACATCACTTACAGCACAGGTGCCCACATACTCTCTTCCAAGTGCTTCGTAGTCATCTGTGGATGCCAGAATGAAACCCACCATTTTGTATGATGCATACATAGCAATTAAAATAGTAAAGCACTGATTTTAACTTTCATATATGGAAACTATAAGACAAAGTTGGAATAAAGAAAACCTTGTTACAGTCACTGAAAGATTGTAAGAGTAGTGTTTTTAAAATGTGTAATTGTGTGTGTGTGTGTGTGTGTGTGTGTGTTGTGTGTGTGTAACTTCTCAGATGACCCTCACTCCTTCAGTGGATGGAGCCCCAGTGCTTTCATTGAGGATTTGTCCTGTGCTTTGCTGTCTGCGGGGTTGTGGTTTGGATAGGAAATGTCCTCGGAAGCCTCCTCTGCAGGCCTGGCCCTGCAGGTGGCACCGCCAGAAGGGGTTGGAACTGTAGATGGTGGGTGCAGAGGAAACCACTGGAGCTGCTTGGGCTGCATCTGGTGCAGACCCCTGTCCCCGAGAGCCCAACAGGCTCCTCCACGCTGCGATGCCAGCTTCTGTCTCACCCTGGACTCAGCCCGAGCCAAGGGATCTCTAAGTAATTCCTTGTAATGTGTTCCCTCGGGTGTTTGTCACAACAGATCCTCCCCTGAGAGTAGCTGGGATTACAGGCGTGAGCCACTGAGCCTAACCTAATTGCTGTATAAGGTGTTCACATGGAAATACTTGAATGAGGACGTTTGAGATTATTTTTTCTATCACTCAGATTTGAAAAAGACCCACGTAGCGAAATGACTTGAGTTCACAAGGCTGTCTGCTGGTGATGTTTGCACTGAGTCAGCATCTTCCTAGTTGAGAGGTCCCATCTTGATAGGGTCTGATGATCCACGGATAAAGTTTTGGGAAGAACCCACGTGGTGCTCAGTGCTCACTGGGGCGAGGGACACTGGACTGTGCCAGCCTAAGGCTGTTCACTGAATGAAGCACAGGGCATAGGACCCCTGCTCAGGGTGCTCCGTGAGGCAGTGGTGCAGGTGACAAGGCCTGGAGAGTTCAGTTCAGAGGCCGGGTGTGTGTGCAGTTCTGGCGAGAGCGGGTCCCAGCTGTGATGGGAAGGGTGAGTGCTAGGGGCTGGAGGCCAGGAGGGGAGGCTGAGAGCCAGGAGGAGCAATCTCTGGAAGGAGCAGAGCTGAGCAGGCCCATTCTCAAGATGGTACCTTGATCCCGGGGTGGGGGTAGAGGAGGGGGGGCATGTGGGAGATTTTCTTGGTGGGAGTTGGCGGGACAGGATTCATATCGCAGGAGGAGGATGGGAACATAGGAAGGGGTGAAGTGGGAGGGCTTCCTGCAGGAGAGGGTACATGCTTTCTTGGCTGGTCAAGTGGCTGGAGGGGTGGGGTGTGCACAGGATGGAGCCCTGAGGGGAGATGGAGGGGCGGCGGGTACACTGGATGGAGCAGAGCTGTGTGGGGAGGTAGAAGGTGGAGGAGGCTGAGCTGTGTGAGGAGGTGCAGGCGGAGAGTGGGCTGAGCTGTGGGGGGAGGTGTTGGGGTGCAGGGTGCACAGGATGGAGCCCTGTGGAGAAGGGCAGAGGTGGAGGGTAGAGGGAGCTGAGCTGTGTGGGGAGGTGCAGGGGTGGAGGGTAGAGTGGGCTGAGCTGTGTGGGGAGGTGCAGGGGTAGAGGGAAGAGGGGGCTGAGCTGTGGGGGGAGGTGTTGGGGTAGAAGGGGCTGAGCTGTGTGGGGAGGCAGGGATGGAGGGTACACAGGATGGAGCCCTGAGGGGAGGTGCAGGGGTGGAGGGGGCTGAGCTGTGTGGGGAGGTGCAGGGGTGGAGGGTGCACAGGATGGAGCCCTGAGGGGAGGTGCAGGGGTGGAGGGTGGAGGGGGTTGAGCTGTGTGGGGAGGTGCAGGGGTGGAGGGTGGAGGGGGTTGAGCTGTGTGGGGAGGTGCAGGGGTGGAGGGTGGGGGGGCTGAGCTGTGTGGGGAGGCACAGGGGTGGAGGGTGGAGGGGGCTGAGCTGTGTGGGGAGGTGCAGGGGTGGAGGGTGGAGGGGGCTGAGCTGGTGTGGACAGCGGGAGCATGGACAGGCTGGGGTGGCCTGCGGGCGGGACGCAGCACCAGCTGGAAGCTGAAGACTGGGAGGAAGATGTTTTGCTCTGGCTCAGGCGTGCCCTACCCTGAGTGGACTTGGACGGCAAAGGGATCTCGCTTCAGAACGGAGAAGAGGGAGGACTGGAAGGAGGGCGGGGGGGGGGGCGGCATCAGAGGAGCAGTGTGTGGAGGGGTAGGGGGCCGAGCAGAGAGCACCACTGAATGAATACCCAGGCCTGAACACATGCATACATCTGTGCGTGTGGGCGCGCCCCCTCCCTCCCACGGGAATCTGGGAGGGAGTGGGTGATGGGTGGTTATGGCAGTGAGGGCCGAGGTGGCCTCCATGGCACCTGTCCAGTCCTTAGTGTGTGGAGTTGGGAGCACTTAGTGGAGCAGGTGGGATGTAACGGTGCGAGTGAGTCCAGGGTGGAAACGGAGCCGCCCCTGCCAGCGAGCAGGCCGGGAGAAGACAAGCAGGAGGCTCTGTGTGAACATGTGTTCTCCTCGCTCAGGCTTCCATCCTTCTCAGTGCTGGAAGTGGTGCTTTTTGCGTAGTGTTTGTGATTTAACCACTAAAACGTCTAGCCTGCTCTAAGTGCAGAATACATTCCGCTCCTTCTGGAATTATTCCTGAAGCCATTGCCTTTTGATTACTTGACCCATAAAAAAAAAAAAAGTTGGGTGGGCACCTGAAATTCTCAGGAGATGTGGCTTCTTGATTGGAAAGTAAAAGACCCCAAGAACACACACATGATCATGATTACAGGCATGGCTGGTGATTTGTGGGAGAATTTCCTGTTAATAAAGAAAAATAAAAAACGTTCCCGCAGGTAGTGTTCAAGAATGGCTTTGACGTGGTGAGTGTCAGAACACATCATCCCAGACATGGTGCAGCTGGCTTCATAGGCACACGTTCGTGAAAGAAACTGAGCAGTCATTTTGGGCAAGAGGTCATTTGGGCAGGAGAACTTGCTGGGTGTTCATTTACTCTGCCAAGATTGAGTAAAACACGTGCATTCAGGGTCTTGCCAGCCCTGAAGGAGAGGGCCCACAATGCCTTGTGTGTTTGTGTTCTGTTTCTCTGGTACAATCACCTTCCTCCTCCTCTTTCTTCTCAGAGTCCGAATGTGTGGGGGCATCTCTCCTCTCAGGAGGGAACTTTGTTCTGGTAGGAGGAAGTGACTGGTAGAGAGCTGAACAGACTGGTAGTGAGAACTAGAGTCTCCTTCCAAAAGAGGAACCAGTTTCACTGGTGAGGGTGGAATTGGGATTGTATCAGCTGACTTCACTTCTCTGTTTGTGACAAATCATTCGAGTGAGAGCAGAGACCCAAAACAACTCTATGCTCTCAGTCCCGTAAGAAAAATTACGTGGAAACAGCTGACCTGCTAATTAGAAAATGTCCCTGCCTGTTTGTTAAACCAACTACCCAGAGGATTGTGCCAAGTAGCACTGGACTCATTCTAATTATTCTGTGGCCTTGAAAGCTAGAAGCTGTTCTTTAGAATAAAAACTTACAACCCAGACCTAGCTGACATGGTTGGAGTTGTGCTGTGCGAAGGTTCTTGGGATACTGGGCAGAAACAGCCAAGAGGGAGGGAGGTGTCCCTGTTCAGACCTTACAGAGATGATGATGAATTGCGGGATAACTGTGTGTTCAGGTCTGAAAAGCCCTTGGACAGGGGAGAGTAGGAGAAGGTTTCAGATTATCTTTGGGGATTGCTTTGGTTCTTTTTTTTGTTATAAGCAGAGACAGCTATAAATTAAAAATAAGACACGTAGTTGTTTCTGCAGTAAGTTGCTCTCCTTGGCCTCCTGGTGGGCACAACAGGACCACAGCTCTGTGAGGCAGGGGACAAAAATGACAAGCCACGCAGCTAGGGGGGAGCTGGGGTCAGCTCCTGACTGGTGTGGGGTCGGGGCCTGCACTGGGGTCAGAAGCCCCGCCTGGTTCAGAGCCTCTCTTCAGCCCTGTGATGGGGCATTCGGGCGAGTGAGTCAAGTTACTGGGTGCTCTGAGCTCCTCCCCCTCTCTGTAAGGAGCAGCACCCCGTTCCAGTGGTCAGTAAGGAGTAGATTGAGGCTGTCTTGTGGGAAGGGCTTCAGTGTCTGCCCTCCCCTCCCTTCCCTTTCCCCTCTTCCTTTTCCTCCCCTCCCTCCCTCCCTCCTCCTGTCTTTTCTCTCCCTCCCTCTTTTCCTCCCCCTTTCCTTCCTTCCCTCCCTCCCTCCCTCCCTTCCTCCCTCCTTCCCTCCCTCCCTCCCTCCTTGCCCTGCACCCCGCCCCACAGGGGTGGCTAGTGCACTCCGCAGTGGGACAGGATCCCTGTCCGTCTTCCAGGGGGGAGAGAGATGCAAATACACGAGAGAATCAAGTCCACGCAGCACTGTGTGCCGTGTGGAGAGACAGTGGGTTGGAAAGTCAGAGTGGCTGGGTGTGAGGGCAAGGTGAACAGGAGCTGGGTGTGCAGGACGCCTTTCCCTCAGCACCAGCACCCCACCCCTGCTCCAGCCCTCCCTCCACCCAGCTGCTTGG